AATGTACTGAGAAGTGTGTGTTCCAGATGACTGCTTTATTTTTGTCAAGTGTTCTTAGAATGACTTCATCACAAATCTGTGAAAACATTAAGAATTTGAAAACCAATGCCCGACAAGCACGTGTTGACATCCAAATTCCTGTACTTGGTCCAAACACTCTTGGAAGACACACTAATATAATAAGACTGCTTCTGCACACTGTTCAAATTAGGTCTCCAGTGAGCCAAGACCACTTGAAGGCCCTCTAGGAAGTATTCAAATTATTTATGACTGACTGCATTCAAGATAGAAGGTCATCCCTGATTTACAACTAAGTCCTTCATATTCTGAGGACAGTAATTGTTTCTAAGGCCCTGGCTTACTAGGTAGTAGGTGAGAGTTCTGCCTGCTGCAGGAAATCAAGGCTTGTCTCTAAAACAGACAAGACTTACAGATCTCTAGCTGACACATCTGAGAGACCAGACATGAGAACGCACAGGGTCAAGCAATCCCATATTTCAACAGATTGCTCTGTCAACCATCCCACTTCTTCATTTCTATTTATATTATATGTTCACATAGCCTTATGTGGATGGGAATAAACATTTGGAGAATGGAACTCATGATAGACTTATAAACTCCCCAAGGGGATACCTGCATGTCACTAAGTTGATCACATTGGCATAACTGTAGTGCTCAAAGTGCAGAGCCCAATGCTCATCACAAGAATCATCTGAAGCTGTGAGACAGGATCCTCATCATGCCCAACCAAAGACAACTGATTGTTAGGTCTAGGAGGGAACACTTGCTCAAATACACAAACTCATAGACAAATACACATCTTTGTTTTCTGTTTGTTTGTGTGTGTGCTTGTGTTTGTGTGAGAGAGAAACACATATTCAGAGAGAGAAAGATAGATATAGAGCAAGAGGATGCTACCAAGGATGTCAAATAATGGATGCAGGTGTTTCATATCCTAGAGGATCAAAATGTGCAGTGATTATGTCCAGGTCTTGTATCTGTACATTGAAATTGTGGCCAGGACTCTCCATTTGCTACTTGAGTGACCCAGCACTTAGTGTGGCCAGGCAAATAAAGAAGGACCACAAACTCTCAGAGGCTGCCACATGACTGGATTTGCCCAAATGCATCCTGGTAAGAAACAGTTCTTTCTCAATCCCTGAGTTATGTAACTCAGGCTACGTGTTTTATGCTTCATTTGGAAGTACCAGAATAAAAGTCCCTCCCCATCTGTTCTTTTGCACTCACTGTGACAAGAGCAAGTCTACTAGAGCAGAAAAATATCTGTAGATTGAAATGAAAGACTTTATGTCTGCCCATTCATGCTAAGAGTTCTCTATTTCATTTTAGAGAAGGTACAGCTATTATATACAGGCTTACATCACAGTAGAAAAACCACTGATCGAAGAGATTGTGTTTCTCTCAGTGTTAGATTTTGATGTCAGTGTAAAAAGGCTGGGGCAATAACACAAGAATTGAAAACAGGACGCACTTGACAGGAAACTAGGATGCTCCTTTTAGCTGAACAGTGACTCACAAAGAACCTGTTGGGACTGGCACCCAATATATTTTCTAATCCAAATTGTAATCAAATTTGTAAAGTTCTCACTGACAACCTTCACTTTTCTCTTAGCTGTCATGACCTAATTTGTATCTACAGTGACTTCTTTGTAGGTGGGGTTTAACATGGCAGCCACAGCATATATACCGAACATACATACATATTTTAGTCATCCTTTTTCCCTGTGTCATGATTTGATTGTTGAAATGAAACTTACTTAATTGAAATTTCTTGTGACAGTATTGCTCCAGCCAAATTTTTAATTAAAAAGAAAAGGTTGAAAAAGACCCTCATGGCTTCCACCATCTTTCCATTTCCAATAATCAATATTTGCCTGAACCCCCATTCTGTCTTTCCATAGGTTCTCTGAAAAAGCTACAGAGTCCCACACTCTATCCAGGTGTCCTTGGAAACAATGCTGGCTGCCGCTTATTGAATGCACCTGTATGTCAGAGCTGAGAGGATCGTAAGATTGCCTGAGGCGTTAGGGAGGGCATTTTAGTAAAGAGTAGTGTGTAGAAGCCAGGGAGCTGTATGCTTCAGCCAGCAAGTGGAGATATGAGCCCACCATTGTCTTCCAGCTTGAAGTCTCAGAGACTTCAGAAGCATGAGCTGTTATGAAATCCAGCACCTGGGTTTTCAGCTGCCCTGCACTGTGGAGGTCAGCCATGACCAGAGTGTGGGCAGCAGTCTCCACGGAGAGGTCCTTGCAGAGGGCGTCCTCACACATGACCTTCAAACGCTCCAGGCCGTACTTGTCGGCAGCTGCAAGCAGTACATCTGCCATGCTGTGGAGATCCGGTGCCTTCCCGGTGTAAAGGAAGCCCATCATTGCTCTGAAGCATTGAGGCTCCAGGTCGTGGATCTCAATGCGGTTTGTTCTGCTCTCCTGCATGTCATGTTCAAACATGGCTCTGAAAACTGGAGAGCGAGCTGCTAAGATGGCCTTGTGAGCCCGGAATTCCTGGCCAGCTACCACCAGGCAGCAGTCTGTGAAGAAGGAATTCTCCCACAGCTCTCCTAGCTCATCTGCCAGAGTGCACCTTGGAACCTGGATCCCTGGCATCGTGGTCTCGTCAGAGAAGCCTAAGGAGTCTTGGGCCACAGTCACCTTGCATCTCAGGCTGAGTTCATTGTCTTCGAGCAGCCAAGGCTCCTGGGCCAAGAGGGAATGTCGAGGGATGAACTTTCTGAATCCCCACTGCTGATTTTGCTGGAACCTGAAGAATCTTGGGCTCTTCATGCCTTGTGTTTTCTCTCCTTCGGAGTCGATGATCCAAAACTGGAACTTTGCCCACACTGGTCTCCTTGGGCAGCTGAGCAACGTTAGGTAAACTGACAAGTAGCCTTTGCTTTCTTCATCCATCCCGTTCGGGTGTATTTTCAAACTCCATCTGTTTTTGTCCCTGGCTCCTGAGGAGAAGGTTGGGCTTTCAATGGCTTCCCTCATTTCCCGCAGGATAGAACAGAAGTTGCCGATGGTCCAAATGTAGGTGAATTTCTGGAAACTGACTTCTGTGTAGCCCCAGCTCACGGCTGCCAGGTCCCCTGACATATCGGCTTGTGGCACTTTTTCAGTTAACCTGGCTCCAAAATGAATAGGTAGGGCGTTTTCTTCTTCAACCTGGAGCTACCAATTACAGATAACTGTAACACAAAAAGATAAAAGACCAGACACTGATATTGGGGCTCAACTTCAATCTGAAGGTCAGGCAAGCAAAGCAGCCAAGCCACTAGATCTTGCCTCTACCTCAGGCTCCACGTGCTCTCCCCAAGCATCACACCGCTACCTCTCCTCAGCCTAACTGGAGATCTTCTTGAGCCTGATTACTGAAAACACCGCTCTTATCGTTTATTCCACTCTATTGCTGGGATCAAGGGCATGAGCTCTGTTACTCTGTTAAACTGGTTCAATCTAGTGTGGCCCTGGGTAGACTTGAACACACAGATATCCACCCACGAGTCCTCAGGGGAAACGTGTCTGCCTGGCTTCACTGGCTAAGCAGTATGGTTGCTTTGCTCTTTTGATCACCAGTGA